TATTATCTATTGCTATACGTATACCCAACAAATTATCTTGCTACCGATTAGTCCATGACGAATGCATGTGCGACCTCCATGTTGCACCCCATCAAAACTCTGAGATAGAGTACGAAAAATTATCATTTCCTTACAATGATCGAAAGTTTCCAAGCAAGTTATTTCTTTTAGAGATGAGCCAATCACTTAATTACTCTAACAACCTTGAAACTAAAGCTTGGACAGAAGTACTTTGCATATTATTAAGGAACTGTAAAGATAAAAACGTGAACGCGTAAATCGTTTTAGTACAGCAGTCTCAACCATTGAAAAACGTTTACTGCTAAGGTGGGAAACTTAGGGTATTTCGTAGACAAAAAAACCTCACGTTGCAGTGATCGACCTTGATGCCAAGTTTAAGGTCTCCAAACATGATTGGGTAGCCAAAGGAAAGACACACCCATGGGGAAAGGGGAAAAAGAAAAATGAACAACGAATATTACCGAAAATTCTTACCACAACATTATTTGGGTTGTTGGGACTTTCTCTCAATTTTATAAATTTTTTTTAAAGTTAAACTAGTGTGTAGTACTGCGAACAGTTGTCAACCTTTTTTATTCTCCGACGCGTTTCAGTATTTTTATCGTCGTAGAATTCTTTAGACAGGTAACAAGTAATACTAAATGTCTGTATTTATGAGCCATAGTTAGCGGCTATAACGGAGTCAACGACGATAGAGGCTTTTCCCGGACTTACGAAGAGGAACAGGCGAGGTTTTGAAAAATTGGAGACGTTGAAGGCAAGGTGAGAAAAATATTTTGGGGGCCTTGGTTTTCGCTGAAACCGCCTGCTGAAAATACTCCCTGAATATGTCTACGGCAGTTAGACGAAATGCGTCGAAGAATAAAGAATTTTTACAACTACGGTTTGCAGAAGTGCTCCTCATTGGTTTAGTTTTAAAAAAAATTGTTTAATTTTTTTTTAAAAAGTTGTATGATTAATAGGGTCACTTACTTTCCTTTTGGTCGGAACTAGATTAGCTGATCTTAGTTGCAAAAATCCCATAATATACTAAAGAGGAATTGAAAAAAGGGTTGCAATTTTCATATTGAATAAATGAATAATGCCGCAAAAAATGCTGTACATTTGAAGATGAATCGTAGAGCAAGGGTTAGGTCTCGTTCACTGCAATTTTTTGGTGTACAGAAGCCCCAAGAAACCGGATTAGCAAGGTCCTGAAATGAGAACAAATTGGAATACGTGTGAACTTCGTACGGTTATCAGTTTTCCATAGATGGACAAACGGTATATAAACAGGTAACAGAGAAAAAGGGAACCAATCAGAACGTTAGAAATAGAATTAGGATCAGTGTCATTATCTGTTGCTATTCATACCCAACGGTTTATAAGCAGGTAACAGAGAAGAAGAGAACCAATCAGAACGTTAGAAATATGCTAAACATGGCGTAGAATTAGGATCAATGCCATTATCCGTTGCTAGTCATACCCAACGGTTTATAAGCAGGTAACAGAGAAGAAGAGAACCAATCAGAACGTTAGAAATATGCTAAACATGGCGTAGAATTAGGATCAATGCCATTATCCGTTGCTAGTCATACCCAACGGT